GTGTAACTCCAGTCTCTGCTTCCGACTTCACACGGTTTTCTTTCTGTGTGTCTGTGTGCATCTCTGTGCCCTTTCCTCTTCTTCCCTCTTCTTATGAGGACACACTCATTGGATTCAGCGTCCACCCTAACCTAGTATGACCCACTTTAACATAATCACATCTGCAAAGACCTTACTTCCAAACAGGGTCATATTGTGAAGTTCCAGGTGGACATGAATTTGGGGGACACTATTCAATCTCCCTGAGAGAGGCTATACTTCAACCACGAAAGGGAAACAGAAATTGCTGCCCACACTATAGGTCTATTATTTTCCCTCTTGCTTAAAAACACAGAGAAGACACAGAGAGTGTACTTCAAATTATGCTTCGAATTTGTGGTTAGTAATAAAAGTGACATTGATCACTATAAAATGCTTGAGTGTTGTGGGATCTGACTCTCCAAGAAAAAGCAATTTTAATGTTAGAAAACCATCTTTGGCATGACCCAGCAACTATCCATTCGGTCCCAAATAATCCTGGGGATGACAGACCCACAGTTAAAACCTTCCACGTAGGCTGGGCTGATTCTCACCTCAGCCTCAGCCAATGGGCTGTCAAAGAATTCTGGCATGGAAGGGACCAGCCTCCATCGAGTTAAATTGCTGCTGGTTGATGAATGTGCTGAGAAGATGCTGCACAGCTATCTGCAGACAGATGGAGAGAATGCCTGCATGGTCTAGTTGAAGGGTTTCCAGAACGCCCTTATGCTATCTCCAAACCATAAAATGCTCCCCAGCCAGCACTCCTACTTAAGATGCAAGTAGTCCTGGGAAAGTTAACACCTTAACTGGTGGATAAATTTTTATGGATCCATTTGAAAAGGGCCTCTGGGCTGGGTGTGGTGGCTCATGCTGTAATCCCAGCATGTTGGGAGGCCGAGGTGGGCAGATCACCTGAGGTCAGGAGTTTGAGACTAGCCTGACCAACATGGTGAAACCTGTCTCTACTAAAAATACAAAAATTAGCTGGATGTGGTGGTGGGTGCCTGTAATCCCAGCTACTTGGGAGGCTGAGGCAGTAGAATCACTTGAAGCTGGGAGGCAGAAGTTGCAGTGTGCACTCCAGTCTGGGTGACAAGAGCTAAACTGAATCAAAAAAAGAAAGAAAGAAAGGAAGGAAGAAAGAGAAAAAGAAAAAAAAAAGGAAGGAAGAGAGGAGAGGGGAGGAGAGAAGAAAAAGGGCTCTGGAAGGAGTTTTGGATAAGAGGTTAGAGGAAGTCCCCTGCCTGTTTGGTTTTTGCTAGTGGGAAATAACGACTGTCAGTGTATCATCTACAATGCAGAGGAGATGGTCATGAAGAACCTGCTCAAATCCAGCCCTGTCTTCCGAGCTCAGTGAAGTGGCAGGACATGGTAATTTGATTTACACATTCAACTGTATACTCCAGCAAAAGACAGAGAGAGGGAAAGTAGGTATGGAATACGAGAGACAGAGACAGAGAGAGGGATCAATGTAGAAATAAAGAGTGTGCTTATGGTGAGGGGAGAGGGAGGGAGGAGGAGAAGGGAAGAAGAAGAGGAGGAGGACGGGGAGGATGGGGAGGAGGAGAGGAGAGAAAAACAGAGATAATTCAAATAGTATGGGCTGTCTATCCACCATTCTCCTGGATGGGCTAATGCTACATAGGAAGAGACCTAACTGATCTGTCCTTGGGCTATTTTGGACCTCAAGCCAGTCCTAGTGTGAGCCTCTCACATGGCTGAGCATGATGCTAGTGTCTTGAGGTTTTTATTTTCATTCAACCTGACCCCAACAAGGCAGCCCTTCCTCCAGTGCCCATCTGAAGTGGATCTCTTTGGCTGCTTCTGGAAAATGTGTTCTGCTAAATGTATTGAGACTTAACAAATGTATTGTTAAATGTATTGAGATTTTCAAGGGTAATATAATCATATAAAATTTTCATCTGGCCATGCTACTCCATTCCAGAAAATACAACTAGATGGTACAATAATTTCTAATTAATAGCTAGATATTTTATGACCAGAGATAGTTACCCCTCAAATGTCTGGGGTAACAACTCTGACTCCTACTATTATTTTTTCAAAGAAGAAAAAAATAATGATGTTAGAGGAAATCCATCATTGTGTAAAGACTGGAAAATGTAGCTAAGCAAAAACAAAATAAAACACATGCACACATATGTTTATTGCAGCACTATTTACAATAGCAAAGATTTGGAAACAACCCAAATGCCCGTCAATGATAGACTGGATAAAGAAAACATGGCACATATATACCATGAAATACTATGCAGCCATAAAAAAGAATGAGTTCATATCCTTTGCAGGGACATGGATGAAGCTAGAAATCATTATTCTCAGCAAACTAACACAGGAACAGAAAACCAAACACTGCATGTTCTCACTTATAAGTGGGAGTTGAACAATGAGAACACATGGACACAGGGAGGGGAATATCACACACTTGGGGCCTGTCAGGGGGTAGAGGGCAAGAGGAAAGAGACCATTAGGATAAATACCTAATGCATGCAGGGCATAAAACCTAGATGATGGGTTGATAGGTGCAGCAAACCCCATTTCACATTTAAACCTATGTAACGAACCTGTACTTTCTGTACATGTACTCCATAACTTAAAGTAAAATGAAATAAGAAAAAATACTAGTATTTTTATCCTCCTACAAAAAATAACCACAGTTAATATTTTGGCGTGTATTCTCACAGTTTGTTTTCCTCACCTCTGTATGTGTGTGTGTGTGTGTGTGTTTTATTTTGTATAAACACGCAATCCCGCTGTGTATGGTAGGTTGGGCCTTGCTTCATTCACTTGGCACAATATTAGGGATGTTTCCCACATCTGCAAACATAGACACATACTATCAAAGGAAGGCCAGAGAAGGCCTTGCATAGAACTCCTTCTTTAGCCAGTAAGCATGGCTATTCTTTGTAGGGGCTGAGCTGTTTGGCTGAAGCACCAGCGTGAGGCGGGGGTCACAGGAGCTGCCGTGCAGGCACCAGGCTACCTGGGGAGTGAGGCCTAGAGCAGAGGCAGCACCAGGCTAGGAGATCCTTCCAGTCTCTGGCGGAGCTCGCCTCTGTGCAGAGAAAGCTTTCCTGGACAGCTGCAGGACTCCTCTGCACAGTACCACTGCTATTCTCCCAAGTCAAGAAGATACTTGACTCATAAGGATACTCATAAATGATTTCCAAAGATGTTTTGCAGTCTTCTATTTAAATTTTTTGGTTAAAGCTACTAATTGAATCAATTGTAAACTCATTCTACTAAACAGATAATAAGGAAACATTTAGATGTCTTCTGTGTAAACGTGTTGAAATAATGTCAGAGGCAACACACAGGCTTCATTTAACTTTATTTCCAATGTGGGCTAAACTGGAGAGGATATTCCCCTGCCTTTCTATTCATGACTATTGCCTATTAACCTCCAGAGGTTTTGTGTGAGCTACCATGTTTAACCTAACTCTCCAAAAATAAAGGGATGGTGATTTTCTTTAAATTGGTACTCACGCAGTGGAATCTCTCAGGCATTAGTGCTTACTTGATTGCATTCAGACGTTACTTTGGCAAGGAAATGACTGCATTAAATTAGCATCAAGCACAATGAATGGTAATTGCAAGACTGTCATTTCTACAAGTGCAAAATTAATGTGTTCTGCAAGCCCATTCCATTGTGTGCCATGGGAAAATCATGGAACCATGTTGTTCCGAACAGAAAAATGCACTGTAATAGCACTGTTAATGTGCTATGATATTATTCTGCAATGGTGTTCCTTTCCACCTTTGTTGTTGTCTCATGCTCATTTTTCATACCCTGTCTGACCTAATTTGTATGCTCATATTATAGCCCTGCCAGACAGTAGCCTGGATGTACGGAGAATGTTATGAAACAATTCCTCCTTCTGTGTGTGGCATCTTGTGTGAATAATGCCAATGTAAACAACCCTCCATGTATTCATCAGAGTCTGAATAGGCTACTTATGTAAAGCTCCTTATTAAGAGATGAACCAACCGTTCACAGAAAACGCTACCCAAATGCTATACATCCATTTAGAAAGAGAAGAGTGATTTACATGCATTTCAATGGCAGCTTAGGAAAAGCACCAGCTCCTCCTCTCTTTATCCCTCTTGTTAATATATGGGAAATTAAGCCACAGACCAGGTGAGTAACTTTCTTCTGGTCATGGAGGACCACAGGGTATAGCTCAAATGATAACATGCATATGCATGGGCTCTTGTACTCTGCTCATTGGCTCTGCAGAATCTACTGGGGATTAAAGGAATTATTCAAGACTGGGGAGAGAGATCCAAGATGGCTGATCACTAGCAGCTCGGGATTGTAGCTCCCACTGAAAGACTACAATAACCAAGTAATAACAGATGTGCTAAGCTGACCAATTAGATGTGGTTTTTCAGTATTTTTGCAGTTTAGCTTAGGCTGAACGCCACTCAAAGTCATCCTGACTAAGGGTAATAACAATGATGTCAATGACTGACCAGAGGAGCTTTCTGGTGAGTAGAGCTTGACTCCAGTATCTTAGCAACGAAAGGGGGTGGGGGCATCAAGACCACTGGGCTGCACTGGCTGATTCACTACAGCAATCGACAGATCAATCAATCTATTGGAGATCTTAGTGTGGGAGGGTCAGGCCTGAGTCCCCTTTTGGAGGCCACCTATTTTGTCACTCACCATTAAGATGTAATGAAGCTGTCTTTGTAGGGTTTCAGGCAGTGAATAATTTGCTGGAATCTGGAAGAAATTCTGTACCAAACACAAAGCTTCTCTCATCTTATAGAACAAAAATGATTAGGAAATGATTTTGGTTGGAAACTTCCTACCTAAGTTGAGAGAAAAATTCTGATCATCTTAGGTACACTTCTGATCAGAATAAGGTACAGTTGTTTACAGATGAAAAAAACATTAAATAGATGATTTGGGCTTAAAAAGATGTGCAAAATGGCTCTGGGAATGGGTTCTGCCTTACCTTTGTTGCAAAACGTCCCGTCATATGCAGTGCTGGAGCAATCGCAGGAGTAGCCGTGGTACCTCTCCAGGCATTTGCCTCCATTTTCACAGTTCGTTCCATAGCTGGTGCAGTGGCCCGAGCACCCGGATATGAACCCGGACGTGACCTTTGCTCTTTCCTCCAGGTCAAGTGTCACTCCATTCATCCTCAAGGAGCGGATACAGCCCAGGAAGCCCTGCTGGCCCCCAGCACCACCTGGGAATGACAGAAGGCACGGAGTTCAGAGGGAATAACCTGCTATTGCTTGTTTTATTCTTCATTTTTTTTTTTTTTTTTTTTTTGAGTCGGAGTTTCGCTCTTGTTACCCAGGCTGGAGTGCAATGGCGCGATCTGGGCTCACCGCAACCTCCACCTCCTGGGTTCAGGCAATTCTCCTGCCTCAGCCTCCTGAGTAGCTGGGATTACAGGCACACGCCACCATGCCCAGCTAATTTTTTGTAGTTTTAGTAGAGACGGGGTTTCACCATGTTGACCAGGATGGTCTCGATCTCTTGACCTCGTGATCCACCCGCCTGGGCCTCCCAAAATGCTGGGATTACAGGCTTGAGCCACCGCGCCCGACCCTATTCTTCATATTTTGAATAACTATGGTAGGAGATGAGACTGCATGGTGCATCTAGTATTGCCACTTTCAAGTTGGTCCTATCCAAATAGAGAAAGTTGAAGCTTCTCTTTCCTTAGGCTATAATGCCTAATTAAAAGAGGCTGTGTCTTCTGAGAGGCAACATGTTTGCTATAGAAATTAAATATTTGGAGATACACAAAAATTATATAAGCTGTTTTGGAAGTCTAATCTGGTTCCTTATAGAAAAAGGGTTTATAGAAATCTCTAGGCCGGGCACAGTGGCTTATGCCTGTTATCCCAGCACTTTGGGGGCCAAGGCAGGTGGATCACAAGGTCAGGAGATTGATACCATCCTGGACAACATGGGGAAACCTCCTCTCTACTAAAAATACAAAACATCAACAAGGCTTGGTGGTGCACACCCACCTACTTGGGAGGCTGAGGCAGGGGAATCGCTTGAACCCAGGAGGCATAGGGTGCAGTGAACTGAGATTGCACCACTGCACTCCAGCCTGGTATCTCACAGCATTGAGTTCTACAGCATTACTTATTGAAAAAAATATGAAGGAAAAGACATGAATGTATTAGCATAGTTAATAAGTCAATTAGCTGGAAGGCATAAATCCATTTGAAATGTGATTGTAGATCTTAGTTCGTCTCTCAAGAGATGCTTTGCTTTTAATTTCATGTCAAGACTACCCAAGGCTCCTTGTCTGGGTTAGCTGGAAGTTGAAATTGATAATTTTACACAGAAGTCAGCTATACCACATTTATTGCTAGGTTAGATCAGATTTCATTGCTTTTCTTTTTTGTTTTTTCCTTTTTTTGAGACGGAGTCTCACTCTGTCACCCAGGCTGGAGTGCAGTCGTGCGATCCTGGCTCACGGCAACCTTTGCCTCCCGGGTTCAAGCAATTCCCCTGCCTCAGCCTCCTGAGTAGCTGGGATTACAGGTGCACACCACCACACCCCACCAATTTTTGTATTTTTAGTAGAGACAGGGTTTCACTATGTTGGTCAGGCTATTCCTGAACACCTGACCTTGTGATCCACCTACCTTGGCCTCCCAAAGTGCTAGAATTACAGGCATGAGCCACTGTGCCTGGCCAGCCATCATTGCTTTTGTCTAAATGTCATTATTACAAGACATATAGCATAACGAGCACGTTCACTGTGATTTTTGGAGTAAGTTACAGAGTTGGACTGAGATTCATGAGCATGAAAATATTAAAATATTCCCCAGAAATTTCATAGAAAGATTCATTGAAGCATTCTATCACAAGTGGATTTAATTGTGTCTGTAGTATTCTTAGCTATAATTTTTTTTAAAAGCAGCTGGTATAAAAGGAGGAACTCTAATTTATATACATGTTTGTATCTTGGAGTAACAACTTTTCTGGAAATGAATCTAAAATGAACAGTAGGTAAAACTGTTGAAGCAAATAGCTGATGAGGATTTAGAAAAGAAGATACTGTTAATAAAAATAAAACCCAAGTTACTCTTTCATTGAGGGCTATATGCTAGGCACTCTATTTAGCACCCTATATACGTTAGTCACCTGGTCCTCACAACAACATATCAAAGTAGATATTATTTGCATTCTTCCCATTATACAGATGGAGAAACTAAGGCTTAGAGAAGTTAAAAAGTTTACTCAAGGACTCATAGTTCCTGAGTGGCAATTGTATCATATCTGTCTTATTCCCAAGCAACAAACAGGATTTAGTGTCTTAACCCTTGTTCTGTGCAGACCTCCTAATACCTAGAAGAACTTTCGAGTCAGGGGCCTCATAGATGCACATGTTTCTGAGATGTAGATTTGGATGTCTTTAAAAATGGAGTAGTCAATAGGGTTACTGGAATTTGAGTAAGATCAGTAGGCTGGGGATTGATTCTCATCACTTACTCTATTATCTTAAGAAAAATCATAAACTCCAGTAAATTCATCAGACAGGACTGGAAGGTCAAAGGCTTTTAGTGGCAGGGATGAATTAGCACCTGCTTATGCCTGTAAACCCCATCAGTGAAATGGCAAATGAGCTGCTCTACCATCTCTGTAAACCCAATCCTTGCAATTCTCTCATTGGGTGACACATTGATTTGAATCATGACTCTCCTGCAAGCATTTGATTTCTTCTGAAATATTTGAATAGAGAAGTAAAGAGAGTCCAGTGCCTTTTTTTGATCAAAGCTATGAAATAGTAGATGGCAAAAGAAGTTATTAAAAACAACCACTTTGAAGGACCATTTTACTATCTGCTTGTCAACTGGGCTTCACACCTCTATGCTGTAAAGAATTAGGGCCTTAGCCTGATTTAGAAGAATTTCAACCCACTAGTCACTCTTTGTATGTTAGAAATTCAGTTTAACTTCTAATATTATGGTTTTTGTCCTTGCAATAAAGGCTTTCCAAAAGGCATTTTATTAAATGAATGTCTGGCCTTAAAAATGTTTCATTACTAGTCAATTAAGACAATTACATCCAATAAAAATGTGCTAAAACATAAAAATCACTTTGCGATCTCCCCGTCTCCTTTTGCCTGATGGCCAATGTAATAGTCCTTGTGGCAATCATAAACGTACTGTTTATGGAGAAGTACAATACAAAACAGATTCTGTTACGCTACTCAAATTTCATTACTTTTGCTTTTAGGGAACAGCCTTTTCTATTTTTTTCTATAAATATACATATGTGCTTTTTAAAAAGAGGAAGAAATGGGATCATAAGGTACACACTGTTTTGAAACTTGCTTTTTGCACTTAATATATCGTGAAACATTTTCCAAGCAATAAATGTACAACTAAAACACCCTGCTTAGTAACTGCATCCATTCTGTGAACGTACTGTCACTTCTTTTGCTCTTGCACATTGAACTTCTACATTTTAAAAAATTTCCACTTTATATGATACTGTAATAATATCATCTTCATGACAACCTTTGCATACCTGTTGCCCAGTTTTTTCCTTAAAATTGATTCTTGAGAATTAATCACACTTTTAAGTCGAATTGCTAGGTTGAAAGGCATATACATTTTAAAGGCATCTGAAATATATTTTCTTCTAAGAAGAATTAACCAATTTCTAATTCACCAGTAGGGTATGAAATGATCACTGTCTCCACACAATTCTCATGTTGGTCAGTGTCCTTTTGTATTCATGTCAGTGTGCTTGACAGGGGCAAAAAGAGTTCACTGTTTAAATTTGCATTGCCTCAACTACTTGAGTTATTTTCCTGTTTTCACTTTTATTATTTTTTTATTTCTTTGTGACCTTTGCTTTTTGCTGGGAATAGAAGAAGGTATATTTCTTATTGATTCATAACAATACGGGCTTTAACTCTTTGTTATAAATAACTCTGTTGCAACTGTGTCTTTTCAGTTTGTGTCTTTTGACTTCTATGTGGTGTTACTTTTGCCTTATGAAAGTTTTGGATCTTTTTGTAGTCACACCAACCTGTCTTATTTGTGTGATTTCTGCGTTTGGTCATGGCTTTATAAAGACCTTCTGTAATACAAAATAATGTAATTATTCAACCATATTTTCTTCTAGCACTTTTGTGATTTTAATTCTGCCCACATGTTAACCTTTTATCTATCTGGGATGTATTTTAATTTGGAAACAATTGGTATCTCATGGATCTTCAGCAGTGACTGAGAATTTGAAAAGACTCTAAATAAACGTTAATAGGATGAAGAATGGAAATATTTTTCAAAGGGTCAATTGGCAGAGCAAATAAATCTAGAGTAGATCATATGTTTATTACATCATTAAGGCAAATCTTTAGATGTATTCATGGATACTTAATTATTTAGTATACAAGGTTCATTTCAGGAAGGATTTAGCGGGCAGAGTTTTTGTACTCTGCTTCTGTGTTGGCTCTTGGGTCTTTGGTCTTCCTAGGCTCTACACAGATCCATCTCTCTTCCTGCACTTGTGTTTGTGGAATCTTTCCCTCTCAGGACTATCTACTGTTTCTACTCAGTTGTGTGGCTTTTCTCAAATTACACAATCTCTCTCAGCATCAGTTTCCTCATCCGAAGAAAGGAGGCTGAACTCAATGGTGTCTCTGACTCTTTCCAGCTCTGAATTGCTCTGGCCCACAGTTTACCAGCTTTCCATCTGGGCCTGTGCTGTTTTTAACCAAATTTCAGTAAATACTCTCAGATTCTCTTAAATCTCTTCCTTGCTTGCTTTTTCTTTCTTTGTACCAATGTCTGACTTTTTTTTTCTTCCTCTTTTAATGGTGTAACATGACTGCAGTCTAATTTGTATTTGTTGTGTTCATTAAATAAAGTTTTGTACTCCCTCTTCATAATTTATAAAGCATGTGAGTGAAATATCGTTTCTTTCTCTATAAAGGAAAACTAAATAAATTAAGCTCTTTTCTTACTTAGGTAGTCCTTGATTTATTTAAATGGGGCAGTGAGCTAGAAAGTACTTTTCATGATCTAGTTGATATGAAGAAAAATCTTTTGTCCTGAAAATGGTCATTATATATTATGTAAAAGACATTGATGCACTAGAACCAGTGAAAATTATTTGAGCTCCGCTTATGCACTCTGTAGAAATCTTTCTTGGTGACAAATGTAAGTTTAAATTATAGGTCTTCAAGCAAAAACGCTACTTAAC